CTTTAAGGGGCGATTATGTACAAAAAAGAAATCACTGCTTTTCTCTTTCTAAGAAAAGTGATTGATTAGTGTTTCTCAACTTTAAAGGTTACATGTTTATAAATTTAACCCTGAAGAGTCCGTTAACGCAATGTTGAATGGTGTACACCTCCCTGTAAATGCGCACGGACACTTTCAGAATTCTCTCGATTGTTCCTGAATTGAGGTTGTTTGTCCAAGGAGCCGTAGTTGAAGCGCGCGCAACAACTAGACCCCTTTCTCGGATGCGCCGTGTACCTCACATCCCTTCAGATTCGGGGTCTTACTTGAAAGATGAAATATCTCTTGGAAAGCGTGCGAAATTCAGATTCTTTAACTTGTGTGGTGATAAAACACTGAAGTAACTAAGAATTACCGGACGCCTCAGAATCACGAAAATTTTGTGTGGGTGAAATATCATTTTCATTGGAAATCCTCTGGCCTGGCATCGACTCATCCTTGATATTTGTCTTCCGACGGTGATGATCCCACTGCATCAAAATGGCTCGATCTCTTCCACCCAGCGGGCCAATACGACCCCCCCCCCTGCGACGTGTCGAGGATTCCTCAACGCACGCTTGACCCTGTTCCCCTCACCTTTCAGTGTTCTGTCGTGGGAATACAGTGCGTACCAAAAGTATGTGGACACCCTGGAATCGATTCTCAGGGGTCAGCTAAAGGCTTTTATGTCATGAAACCTCCACCATTCAACTCCTAGTGGTCGATAACCTACAATGATATTTTCGGCAAAAGATTTCGTTCTAACTTAGCGAACTATTTTTCATGGAAAGTTTTTTCTTTGTATCAAAATTATGTGGACACTTTTTGAAAAACGGCAATATCTTCAGAATCTGAAATCGGTAGGCCTACCAAAGTTTCTAGTAAGTTGAGCCATTCTGTTTGGCATGCTATGAATGGGGTCTGGATACATGTCTTGCAGATCTGTTCCCAACTAGCAAATTTCACCGACGTGTTAGGTCACTTGTTATATTACTCTTTTGTTCAATGACGTAGAGACCGTGAACCACGGATACCTCTAGGTTTTCGAAAAGGATGAAGTCTGAGGAATACGCTAGCCGACTTGCCAATCGAAGTAATTGTGTTTAGCATTTTTTCAAATGGAATGGCGTCAGGGATTTTTCCTGCAGAAACAAGTGATTTGCGACAATGACCTTTCGAAAAGGTTGTAGCCGGGACTCAAGCACCTCATTATAATCCTAGTCGTCTACCTGACATGTTGGCAAGCCAAACTTCAATGTCCCCCTCCTTTTGGAACCACCCCAGACCTTTGATGAACATCTTCCGAATTGTCTCTTCGAGCACATCTGCGGTCCGACCAAAGTCTCTCCAAAAACCTCAAGACCCACCCGAATAGTGAGGAATAAGCTTCTTTCTGCCAGTCGAGTTGGTCTATGAGAGAAATTTCCACAGAAAGTCTTTTATACTAATTTTACCATTTCCACGAAAGCACTGTCTGTGTGGGTTCAAAGTATCATGTTGTGATCCTTTTTTGAGTGGGAATTCCAACCTTGCCAACCTGAACCCGCATTCATATACAAAGCCTTCTTCATCTTCTTTCGTGTCGTGTGCTCAATTGATTGAATGAGACACCGATTGGTCTTTTTTAAGATCGGGAAGATCATTTATGCGTAAAGTTGAGTAGTACGAAAAGAATAATTTGAGAAAATTAAGGCTATTCTTCTGCCTGTTTTGAACAAGTAGCGATTGAGAACAACCCTCAGTCAAGGTCGAGAGCTTAGCATCAGGATTTCGGATTTCTCTCCAAACCTACGAGGACGCATGACTGGTTGACGTGCTATTTCGCAATAGGAAGGTTCAGAAGCATGGGGATCCCATTTCTGTGCTCGGTCTTCTTCAGAAAAACGCTTGCCGTGAAGAGGAATGATGCCAGAATAAGTAACGAAAGGAGAAGTAAAAATAGGTTAGGAAATCGATGCAAAAACTTCATCTGCCTCAGGGTGTCCACATAATTTTGATACAAAGAAAAAACTTTCCATGAAAAATAGTTCGCTAAGTTAGAACGAAATCTTTTGCCGAGAATGTCATTGTAGGTTATCGACCACTAGGAGTTGAATGGTGAAGGTTTCATAACACAAAAAGCCTTTAGCTGACTCCTGAGAATCGATTCTAGGGTGTCCACATACTTTTGGTACGCACTGTACCACAACCATCCTTCTTCCTGTTCTCAAAAATTTTCCAGCAAAATAATCAAAGAACTTCGCCAAAGTTTGACATAGAAGTTTTCCAAATATTTTCGACTTTTTGCCCGCAGAAAACCAGTCTTCAGCTTTCTGAGGCGGGACAGAATTATCATAGCAATTCAATTTGTAAACACTGTTGAAAGGTTACACCATCGTGGAGCGTTACTGTACACCTCGACGTATTCAAGATGGCCCCCGTGACCTCCCCTTCGAGATGGAACGTAGCGATATTGCGTTCTAAAATTTGCAGAATGAAGTACGTCATTGGGACAATTGCGCTCATTGCAAAAATGCTCAAAGAAACGTAGTCCATACCTCCGGGAGCTGGATGTGGATGTTGACCATCAGATGTGTGATCCAAGCGGATCGTCGGCTGTCGTAGTAGCAAACTCTGCGTACACTTTGGCAAAACCATAAGAGTACACGTGCACATAGCAAGCTCCAGGAGATCTCAACTGGAAATCGGTGCGGAATAAAACAATGCAAAAAATGAAAAAATAAAACAATGTAGCCGTTATTGGTAAAGAACAGTGGTAAGGCCTGCGATGCTATCCGGCAGCGAGTGCTGGCCCCGAACAGGAATCACGGAAGGCAGCTTCGCTCTGCTGAGATGGGCCTGCAGCTGCGCGCGACTGAACAAGGTCAGAAAAAGGGATGGTGGGGGGGGGCGGGAGGGAGAAGGCGGTCATGGCGGGAACTTCTGGTCAACTTTAGATTCGCGAGAGCAAGTCTGCGATGGTATAGACCACGCTGCTACGGATGCTAGACATCATCATCGATAAGGTAAAGCGATGACTTCGAGCGGCAGGCAAGCAAACGCGCCAGGATCCCAAAGCGAAGAGGTGGAGACTACGTAACCAAGAGCCGACCTTAAACGAATTGATCGGCCTCAGCAGAAGCAGCCGCTGCGACAGAGCGGCGAAACCGGCAAAAGCAGCGGACACTGCGGCTGCGCGGGATTGATGCTAGGGAGCAGAAGAAGCCCATGTGTAGAAGAGTCGAACGTACGCGAAAAAGTATAGGTTCCTGGCAGACCGTTGGTATCGATTTCAAACAGCTTTGTACCAGCAGCGTTATATAACACATCAGCTGCTATGTCTTCTGTAAAATCATTTCTTATTTCTTTTCAAAACCAAGGAAGCCCAAGGAAGAGGTCGCGCAAAGCTGATGTGCGAGAGTACCACACCCAACATATCACTCTGTGGACTTTCCGTTGGTTTGTTTTTGATTCTGATATCTGATGCTTTTGGGCGTTAGCGCACGACACAGGGGCCTTTAAGACTCAGCCCAGAAGGGGGCAGGAAAATCGGGAATACGCTAATTTTTATTTTAGACTTCTTTGGTGGTATTCCCTGCTTTTTTCTCCAATTTCGACTCAACCAGCATCCAGTTGTTCATATTTGAACACTTCTTTAACTCCCTACTTTTATTCCGGCCCTTGACTTTAGTTAGTAAGAGTAGTTGAGAAGGAACGGTGTAAGTGGTCAGTGACGCTCAAAACCGCCCATCTGCTCAGCATGATTTCGGCCTTCGATACATAGTCGTGTGATATTTATTAGTATGTGATTACGGTAGTGCGATACCGATCGGGTGTTTTGTAAATGTAATCTAGATTTTTTAATAACAACGGCGTCCTCATGGAACTTCTATCACATAAGGTTAGGAACCTCGATAACAAGCACCACTCACGCTTCAACGGATTGACCACTCCAATCGATCCATATCGAGATGTGGCAGCGACAAAAATTGAGGTAGTATCTTCGCCAACTTGCACATACAAATCTGAGTGACCGGCACACTTGAATTGGGCAGGATATGTAGGATTGGCGATCGTTGAGATGCCGTAGAGAGTTGGAAGGAAGGCGGCCAGGTACTGTAGTAACAAAGGTCAATACGCCATGCACGTGGGAACCACAGCGTTTGTAAATTTTATTAAAGAACTGGCAAGCTCAATTCTAATTTTGTTTGATATTTTCTAAAATATTTCTATATGTTTTCTCTACTTCCCCTTCCTTCCCATCTGCTGCAGAACATCACTCAGTGTGTAAAAAGCATACTGTATTTGTTAAAGGGATCAGAAACTCTATCGTCGTTGAATCTTCCATTGTCGCTTTCGCTATCCCGTGCCATTGGAAGTCATCTGTACACTGGAGGAATGGAGAAATCGAAGACTACTAGCCCCACATTTTGTATAGTGCAGCTATCATTAAGTGAATTTCTCAAAATTCGTTGATGTATGGTGTCTGTTGCTTTTAAGGCAAAGGTCGGGCTCAGGCACGCTAGAGAAGTAATTCCCGTGCCTGGAGGTTGTATGTGGGTAGCTGCACACATTGCAGCAACTTCCCACCTTGAAAAACCCCGTTAAGGCCCCGGGCGTTTCGGTTTCAATCCAGGACCGCCCACCTCCGGAAGTGGTGCGTGGCTGGCATAACGTGTGAAATCAGCTAGGTTGATTGCCGTATCAACCGATAGAACGTATGACTCTCAAAAACGTTTGTGTATTCGCAGCCTTCCCCTTATCCTTTTCCAAGCCTACCTTTATCTTCTTCTTCTCAAGCCCATTACGTGCCCTTTCCTCAAGCCAGCCTCCTTCACTGCTAGTGGGAAAGAGGGTTTTGTTAACGGCCTTGTCGACGGTTTTTCTCAGTTTTTTCTCCACTGTCGTTCCACTTCGCATCTCTATACTCAGTTTCAATCGCCATAATACCCCCTTATTGAGCCCGACTTTTGCCTTTAATCAAACTTTGCCTCAGCCTCAACGTCAATAGAGTCATGTGCTCCCAACTTGAGAGAAAGGGAGGCGATAAACTTCAAACCATCGGTGAATTAGTTTAAAGTTTGTTTACAGTCCTGAATATGGTGTCTGTTTCAAAAATACCTCCTGAACGTTTGTGCGATCAGTGATCGCCAAGCTTCCACCGGATGAGTAGGCTGTAGCGGCAACTGCAGCCATCACTGAGTCGTGAGGTGCGCACATTTTCGTCGACACATAGATGTAGTTGACCTGGAGAAGTATACACCATAAATTCCGTCTAAAGAAAAGAAAAGATTATGGAATGATAGAGGTATAAAACAGTTCATTTCAAAAAATTTAGTACCGGTATGGGTGGAGTGTTTTCGAGATGGGGGTCTTCACTTGTCAGTTGATGGATGAAGGCTCCGTAGATCATTGCTGATGAAGGACGTCTTCCAAGTGGCGGCTACGACCTCGAATGGACTTGAATTTCATCATTCAAATGATGACGATAGATTATGAGGCTGAACGGTGACTTGCCCTCGGACCCGGTGTCAGAGAGTGTTATGCATACTCATACGGTCAACAGAGAACTTTTCAATTCATTTCACATCGGTGCGAGCACTATCGAGGTTGCTGGGTAAGAAGGAGTGATAAAGGAGAACCTAACATATTTTTGCTTCCTTCATAGCTCTGCCAACGTTTCAAAAGTGCTTTACATTGCATACCGGCCACCATCTGTGGGAGAAATGCTTGGAAACGAGGCACAGGCCAGTAGGAGGCAAGCGTTGCTTTCCTGTCGAATTAAGCACATTCGACCGTTATAAGTATAGATCGCCATATGAAGCATCTTGCGGTGCATCGTACATCGGGTGTGTGAATTTTGATTGTGACTTTTAAGGGAAGGCATTCATTGTTAGAAAAAGTGGTATGTGACCTCCTGCGGAAACGTGACAAGGATTGCAGGAGAGTGCCCCTTGTAGAAGGGCTTGTTGTTGCAGTTGGAAGAGACATAAGACGGGGTGATCCAGATGCACCTGTCCTCTTTAGTGCTTCTCCGGGACCCGTGATACGAACGGCAGCATCGCGAGTGTGTAGCGTTTCAGCCATCCCGATTCGCGAAGATAGTTGTTCTAATCGGTATGGTCGCGAAGCTGACAAGTTCTGATTGGTAGATAGTTAGTGGAAGAAGATTCACTGCACCTCACCATTAGCACCTATAAAGCTAAGGTGCGGATAACTTTCCTACTTTCTCGGATAGCGCTTCTGTACTCCAGAAAGGACCTTGGTAGAAGACGCTGATGAATACGTGTATCTTGGAAGCCAACGAAATATGAAGAAAGATTTTACTGGTAGGAGGTTTTAAGAACTCGCAAGCCTGCTTGGACTGCACTCAACTCTATAAAAGTGTGATTGAAGGCACTAAGAATTGCAAATTCCGGGTAGTTCCTGCAGGAGGATGACGACGCATGGCACTACAGTCAATTTCCACCAATAAATTGTGAGCTTATGACGCGCAGTCTGTTCACGCCTTTGCGACACAACAAATAAGAAATGTGTAGCTCTTTCATGAAACTGGAACCCTATCAGGGAACAATTTCTTCCTTGTTGTGCTCCTCATTATTGGTGAAGATGAAACCGGCCTAAACGACACAGGCCAGAAAGTCGACTAGTCGTCTGTACTACTCGAGTTGGTTGCACCCTGTACATTTCGACCGATATAAACTCAAAAAGCTCACATGGACATGCATGTCACTGATAAGCTCGACTGCTCCGTGGCGATTTGCTTCATCGCTGGGAGTAGCGGTGGTGATGACGAAAAGCTCACTATTTGGGTAGGCCACAGAATAATTTAGAGCGCTTCTAATAGCTCTGAAATATCACCATCTTGATGCTGCATCGATGTTTTCAGATAATTACAAAATCGAATCGAACACACTGATAGACTGGCAGTACGCATCCACCGTCATCGGTTGTTCTATGGATTGCTGATTTGAGGCTGCGCACTAGTTGCTTGATCTTTCTGAACTCCGCTGTTGAAGTAGTGCCCGTGGCTAAAAATTGAAAAGACTAAATATTCATAAAGCAGTAAGATAAATTTGAAGGCAGCCCCCCTGCTGTACGGTACAGCAGAAAGAAAAGGAGACAAGAGAACTTCTCAGTATTTTTTGACGAAAAATAAAGCAAAATTGAGATTAAGTGGCGAAACTGACGAAAAACAAAGCAAAATTGAGATTAAGTATTGAGATG